CTCTCTCTATCTATGTCTCTATCTTCCCCTCTCTCTCTCTTTCTCCCCCCCTTCCTCTCTATCTGTCCTCCCTTTGCTCCTTCCCCCTTCTCTCTCCTCCCCCCGCCCCTCTCATCCTCTCTCCCTCCCATCCCTGTGTCCTGTATTGATCACGGCCGGCTGGCCTCTGTGATGCTGTGATGCTGTGTGTATCAGCTGGACTATGTTGGCCCGATGTTGACTGGCGTCTGTTGACCGACCTGAGCTGTGGCCGCGGTAAACAAGGGCATCAACAGGACTTGAGCCGGCCAAGAATAGCAAAGCCGGTTTGTTGAGCTAGCCGGCCGACCGGTCACTGTTTTTTAATATTTATTTATTTATTTTAGTAGTAGCGAATAAGAGTTTTACGACACTTGCAACACAATAAGGTTCATCTACGTGCCGCTGCGCAGATTGGGGTAACACCCCCCCCCCAAAAAAAAAAAAAAAAAAAAAAAGATTGAGGGGAGATAAGAACGAAAGTTATTTATAGGAAGGATAAAGAAGTAACAATAAATTGTCACTCTTTGAGTCAGCGACTAACCCCCCCCCCCCCCCCTTTTTTTTTGCGGCCACTCGATCCAAATTGTATCCCTTACTGTAGCTGCTTTATACTAGTCTAAAATGTAGTGTTACATCAAATCGGAGGTGGGCGCTAGATTTGAAAGTCCTGCCTCTCTACCTCTTAAATAAACTTACAACAGTGTCGGAAGGGTGGTTGGCGCGTGCTTTGGTGTGGTTTGCTTCTTCTTTCCTATCATACATCTATCGTCTTTATCTCCCCTCATTCTTTTTTTAACTTGTTACTCAGTTACTCTCTTGGAGTGGGTGGTTGGTGGGTGCTCTGGTGTGGTTTGCTCCTTCTTTTCTATCAAACATCTATCGTCTTTATCTGCCCTCATACACGTCTATTCTTCGGCACCTATATGACCTTATTGTGTTGCAAGTGCCGTAAAATGCTTACTAAAACTAAAACTAATTCTTTTTTTGTGTTTGTTACTCTCTTGTAATGCCTCTATAATCTTCGGCACTTATATGACATTATTGTGTTGCAAGTGCCTTAAAACACTTACGTAAATAAAAGAGATGTTAAACTCTTCGTTTGCTGCCGACTGTTCAGGCGTACTTTTCTCTAAATTTTGTATTTTGCTTATTACCGCTTCTTATTCTGTGATATCGGTTGCATGTGCTCAAGAAATAATATTTTTTTCAAAATTTTAACCCCTAAGTATTGAAAAAATGTACGATAAATAAATGAATAAATAAAAACAAGAATGAATGATTGAATGAATGAAGTAATTAATTAATTAATTAAAGAATGAATGAATGAATAAATAA